CTCGGCCAATATGGAAATTCTTAAAAGCTCTTTTGGAACTACTCTTTGATGATCTTTGGTGGATGATATTGGTGTGTGATAACCTGGGGAACTAGTGGAATTTGAGTTTGATGTCCCCAGCATCCAGTCAGGCCGAGTGTTAAGTCGACTGACGGAACCTTTACTCCTCAGCCTACGTTGATGCTCTAGGACAACTCTTTATCAAAATACCTCCATGTGCCCAGAACGTCTTTGGCTAAGCTGTGGCCGTCAATCTACAGATTCTTCGTCAGGGGGGACGTTGAATTACTCGACAAACATGAGCAGTTTTAATCTTTTCAGTTTTTCTGAAAGAATGTTGTTTATTTGGTTAGCAAATTGATCTCCCAAGACTTCGCATTGGACGAATTTGGAGCTTCCTATCCGATCATTTATATAAGCTAATCGAATTTAGAGAGAAAGGCTTGTTGACATTTCAAACCTGCGAATTGCTACAATAATGTACATTACAAACATGAATTTCGATCGAAACAAATAAAAGAATATATAGGATGGACCTGGATAATCAGTGATGAACCATCGCAGAAGTTTCGCCAATTCAATCTACCAGGCTGTTCTGCCATTTCAAACCTGCGAATTGCTACAATAATGTACATTACAAACATGAATTTCGATCGAAACAAATAAAAGAATATATAGGATGGACCTGGATAATCAGTAATGAAACATCGCAGAAGTTTCGCCAATTCAATCTACCAGGCTTCACTGCCATTTCAAACCTGCGAATTGCTACAATATGTACATTACAAACATGAATTTCGATCGAAACAAAAAATATATAGGATGGACCTGGATAATCAGTGATGAAACATCGCAGCAGTTTCGCCAATTCAATCTACCAGGCTTCACTGCCATATCAAACCTGCGAATTGCTACAATATGTACATTACAAACATGAATTTCGATCGAAAAATATATATATATTGGATGGACCTGGATAATCAGTGATGAAACATCGCAGCAGTTTCGCCAATTCAATCTACCAGGCTTCACTGCCATATCAAACCTGCGAATTGCTACAATATGTACATTACAAACATGAATTTCGATCGAAACAAATAAAAAATATATAGGATGGACCTGGATAATCAGTGATGAACCATCGCAGAAGTTTCGCCAATTCAATCTACCAGGCTGCTCTGCCATATCAAACCTGCGAATTGCTACAATATGTACATTACAAACATGAATTTCGATCGAAACAAATAAAAAATATATAGGATGGACCTGGATAATCAGTGATGAACCATCGCAGAAGTTTCGCCAATTCAATCTACCAGGCTTCACTGCCATATCAAACCTGCGAATTGCTACAATAATGTACATTACAAACATGAATTTCGATCGAAATAAAAAATATATTGGATGGACCTGGATAATCAGTGATGAACCATCGCAGAAGTTTCGCCAATTCAATCTACCAGGCTGCTCTGCTATTTTCTTGAAGTTTGAACGAAACAGAGAAGATTAGCATGGCCCCTGCATAAGGATGACATACAAAATCGTGAAGCGTTCTACGAATTCTTAAAATGAAATTAACTTCTCGCTCTTTCTCGGCCAGAAAAAGATTTGATTTGTCGACGTTTCAACAAAATATTTTTCCTCGTTAAGAAAAAAAAAAAAACATGATTTGGATGTTTATATTTTTAATTTTCCTAACGAGGACAAGAATTTAGTCGAAACGTTGAGAAAATAAAAATTTTCCTGGCCGAAAAGTGTCTCTTATTTAAAAGAACTGTGAATGCCGGCCAGGTAGCCACTATCTTCAGGATGCTATTGTACCGAGTTCTCCAAATGTTTATCACGTAGGAGAATACACCTATCCCCCGATTTACACGGTAGATACGTTCCTGAGAAAAACGTGTAAATCGAGGGATAGGTGTATATTAAACTGTCAAATCTGAATAGGTGTTCGCCCCCTCATGAATCAGAGCCTCCCAATATTCTTTTCAATATAGGTAGTATAGAGTAGAATATCGCATTTAGTATAGTGCGGTAAAAAAAGCTCATTTGGAAAACCGTGTAAAAGCGAAAACGTGTAAAACAAGTACCGTGTAAATCGGGGGATATGTGTATACAGAGAAAGATTGAGAATTGACATTGTTTCAATGTCTGGTGCTATCAACACATTAAACCAACACTTTGCTTTCCTCAACGTGTCACCTTCCATATACCACAAAGTCTCCGATCAAAATGGACGTGACTGTATATCCTCACAACTCACCAACTCAATTAAACTCTTTGTCTCACGATTCTGTTCTTCTTTGATGATATACTGCTTCAGTTGATGATTCAATTTATAATACAGAGAGTAAACCTCTTTAACGACCACGCCTCTTTAACGACCCCGACAAGTTAGAAAAACGTTGTTCTTCTTTTGATGATATACTGCTTCAAGTCTGATCATTCAACTCATAATATAGAGAGTAAACCTCTTTTAACGACCACGCCTCTTTAACGACCCCGCCAAGTTAACAACAACTTTTCAGAAATGCTCGTCTACCAAATACGGTCCTAAATGACCAACAATTCCTTAAAACCGACCATCAATCGCTAAACTGGTCTTCTGCGTTATTTCATAAATAATCTTGAATAGAGATAACAGATTTCATCATCACTTCATCATTGAAACAGATAAACACACAGTTTTATTGAGACAATCGGTCTTATACAGATTCACCACAGGAAGAAAGGAAGCATAGATGGAGCTCCTATACTCCAGGCAGCGCAGAACCCAACAACAGCCTACAGGTCCGACGTATGTCCAGTGGCCACACGCTCCTTTGTCCATATTGAAACAGATATAGAACTTACAAAGAACATTGCTCAAGGGATGACGAAGGTTCATGGATTCCAGAAATATCGTCTTATTAAGGTCTGAGATTCCGGTGGTGCGTGTGTCCTTCATTTCCATTTAAAGCCAAAGTGTCCCTTCAGGCGAGTGTCTTAAGAAACGTCTGAATGCCTGTATGTATCTATAGTAAATATGTATCTATGTCATATATTCAGGACTATACATACATAATCTTTTGATATTTCTTCAAAAGGAAATGTATCTCTGTGAATGAAGTCTTCTTCCATTTCGGGCAGGCAATCTCGGCCCAATCATCTGCAGATAATTACTCCGCTAAATGACTTTATTAACTGGGCTCCATCACAATTAAGTGCCTAATAAATCTTATTGGACCCTAATTAATTGATTGTGTGTTTTGGAGCCTTCTGCTTCTTCTTTAATGTTGAACGTCTGGTCTCTTGTAATTGCTTCACTCCACCACAATAACAGTTTTTAGCTTAGTCTGGTCAGATTGTTCGATCAGTATTTCTATTGGAAATAAAATACTTTTAAACAGAAGATGAAATGAAATTTGATAATATATACACACATGAGCAAAACTTAAGGAAGTTTCATATTTTTACTTCGCCGGTAGTCTTTATTAAGGAGACAGAAAGCTATTTTGTTTACACTTGGTTATCTCGTGTGTCTTCAATAAAGGTCACTGTAATATCTTTCAGAGTTATTGTCTGAATGTCGATATACTCGTACACGCTTAAAGGTACAACTTCTTTAAGTTTTGTCCATGAGTGTATCATTCAGAGTTATTGTCCGAATCCCGATATACATGATAAAAGGTACAACTTCCTTAAGTTTGTCCATGAGTGTATCTTTCAGAGATATTTTCTGAATCCCGATATACATGCTAAAAGGTACAACTTCCTTAAGTTTTTTCCATGAGTGTATCTTTCAGAGTTATTGTCTGAATCCCGATATACATGATAAAAGGTACAACTTCCTTAAGTTTTGTTCTTGAGTGTATCTTTCAGAGTTATTGTCTGAATCCCGATATACATGCTAAAAGGTACAACTTCCTTAAGTTTTGTCCATGAGTGTATCTTTCAGGTAAATATTATTTCCCTGACTACTTCGTTCATTACCTCAGCAAAGACAGTTTTTCCTGGTATAAACACGTCTTCTGTGACATTCACCCTGACATGCAGAGAATGTCACCTGAAATGTTTTTTTAAAGAGTTGTCTTGGTAGTAAGTTCCAGTTGGTGTTCCACCCAGTAAAAAACAAAATTCGATATTTAAGATTGTTTCGATCAGATGCTATTGGTTATCGACCTTTCTTTCTTATCTGAAGCAGTTTTTTCCATTTTAATATTTGTTCGATTTTGAACATATCATTTGACAGATAAAACTATATACATCTATCCCACGATTTACACGGTAGATACGTTGCTGAGAAAAACGTGTAAATCGGGGGATAGGTGTACACAGAAATAAAAATAAAATGCATTGTCAGGTTAAAATATGTAGTCAGCACATAAGCTCGGGATTCCTCGTGAGATGTGTACACAGCACATGTTTTCAATCACAGTAGCATTTAGTATAGTGCGATAAAAACAAAAACAAAACTTATTTGGAAAACCGTGTAAAAGCGAAAACGTGTAAAACAAGTACCGTGTAAATCGGGGGATAGGTGTATACACACTTGAATATGCACAATATAATGTTATGAAAGCGAAGCCACCTCTGTATGGACAAGCACTATATCCTGAAACCATGGTATACAGGCTGTTGGCTTTTTGTTTGAATTTGCCATAACTGGTGTTGTGGTTTATTCATTATCATCATTGGTAAAATGTCTTTACTTGGATGATGCGTTGTTCTGAGACATAATTAGAATGAGAGTTGCCTCTTTTGGTACATAGATATCTTCACAATCCGCCAAAGAGATTTTTACCTGGTAAATATGAAAATTAAAATTATACCGCGAATGTTTCTTTTAAAAATCGAAATTTATTTTCAAAGAGAAATAGCGACATTTCTAACTTTGAGGATGAGGTATGGAAAAGTGAAACATGAAGAGTAATGGAGAACGGAAAAATAAAAAGTGTCCAGGGGCGGGAATCGAACCCACACTCTTCTGCTTACCGGGCAGGTGCCTTGTCCACTCGGCTACCCTGGACATAGCCGAGTGGACAAGGCACCTGCCCGGTAAGCAGAAGAGTGTGGGTTCGATTCCCGCCCCTGGACACTTTTTATTTTTCCGTTCTCCATTACTCTTCATGTTTCACCTTTCCATACCTCATCCTCAAAGTTAGAAATGTCGCTATTTCTCTTTGAAAATAAATTTCGATTTTTAAAAGAAACATTCGCGGTATAATTTTAATTTTCGTTTTACAATCATCAGCCGCGTTATATTGTATTTTACCTGGTAAATATATATATATATATATATATATATATATATATATATATATATATATGTTATATAAAAATATTATTTTATATTAAATTATAATTTCATAGATTCAAAAATACTCTGTTAAATCGACCGCCAGAGGTCACGCTTCCCTTATAAAAACTCATTGTTTTTCTATCCCAATGGCCGGGTCAAAACTTTTGTACATTATGTAAGTAATCTTTTGTTTTCCTTATTCTACTCGCCTTAAGCAAGGCATTACTTTTATCAAATTATGTTATTTTTATATATCCCTTTAACTCAATTAAATTACTGATCAATACTATTTTCATTATCATACTTTAAGAATTTTAACCACGACTGTATTACCATAATCCTCAACATGATAAAAAATCAAGCAGAAAATCTCTATTCATTTTTATAACATATATATATATATATTTCTTTGTCAAGAATTCGGTCATATACCTGGATTTTCACAGAATCATTTCCATAACCTTTAAAACACACCTTGCATTTTAGGTGATAGTGTTTTTCTCCATCTAACTTTAAATAAAAAGTATTTGTGAATCCAAACTTGAGAAGTCCATTAAAAGAGAACAAGCCAGAGAGCCCACATCGCATTCTATCTCAAGAAATCCATTGACAACTTCGGTGTTTCTCCGAAGTAACCACAACATCCTGAAATATATTTGTGATTGGATTTTATTGGTATACCACCCAAATATTATATAAACGTTTAGTTGGCAATTATTATGCTGGATGGCGCATGCCATCAATAACACTCAAGATGCAGGTTCAGATGTTAATCACATCAACTATAAAATATGGGGATTATATATACTTTCCTATACTAAGGCTTGATAGAATACACGTGTATAATGTGGTGTACCTGCAGCATTAACAAGTCCATTCCTATACCAAGGCTTGATAGAATACACGTGTATAATGTGGTATACCTGCAGCATTAACAAGTCCATTCCTATACCAAGGCTTGATAGAATACACGTGTATAATGTGGTATACCTGCAGCATTAACAAGTCCATTCCTATACCAAGGCTTGATAGAATACACGTGTATAATGTGGTATACCTGCAGCATTAACAAGTCCATTCCTATACCAAGGCTTGATAGAATACACGTGTATAATGTGGTGTACCTGCAGCATTAACAAGTCCATTCCTATACCAAGGCTTGATAGAATACACGTGTATAATGTGGTGTACCTGCAGCATTAACAAGTCCATTCCTATACTAAGGCTTGATAGAATACACGTGTATAATGTGGTGTACCTGCAGCATTAACAAGTCCATTCCTATACCAAGGCTTGATAGAATACACGTGTATAATGTGGTATACCTGCAGCATTAACAAGTCCATTCCTATACCAAGGCTTGATAGAATACACGTGTATAATGTGGTGTACCTGCAGCATTAACAAGTCCATTCCTATACCAAGGATTGATAGAATACACGTGTATCTTGTGGTATACCTGCAGCATTAACAAGTCCATTCCTATACCAAGGCTTGATAGTATACACGTGTATAATGTGGTGTACCTGCAGCATTAACAAGTCCATTCCTATACTAAGGCTTGATAGAATACACGTGTATAATGTGGTATACCTGCAGCACTAACAAGTCCATTCCTATACCAAGGCTTGATAGAATACACGTGTATCTTGTGGTATACTGCAGCATTAACAAGTCCATTCCTATACCAAGGCTTGATAGTATACACGTGTATAATGTGGTGTACCTGCAGCATTAACAAGTCCATTCCTATACCAAGGCTTGATAGAATACACGTGTATAATGTGGTATACCTGCAGCATTAACAAGTCCATTCCTATACTAAGGCTTGTAAGAATACACGTGTATCTTGTGGTATACCTGCAGCATTAACAAGTCCATTCCTATACCAAGGCTTGATAGTATACACGTGTATAATGTTGTGTACCTGCAGCATTAACAAGTCCATTCCTATACCAAGGCTTGATAGAATACACGTGTATAATGTGGTGTACCTGCAGCATTAACAAGTCCATTCCTATACCAAGGCTTGATAGAATACACGTGTATAATGTGGTATACCTGCAGCACTAACAAGTCCATTCCTATACCAAGGCTTGATAGAATACACGTGTATAATGTGGTATACCTGCAGCACTAACAAGTCCATTCCTATACCAAGGCTTGATAGAATACACGTGTATAATGTGGTGTACCTGCAGCATTAACAAGTCCATTCCTATACCAAGGCTTGATAGAATACACGTGTATAAGGTTGTTTTCCTGCAGCATTAACAAGTCCATTCCTATACCAAGGCTTGATAGAATACACGTGTATAATGTGGTGTACCTGCAGCATTAACAAGCCCATTCCTATACCAAGGCTTGATAGAATACACGTGTATAATGTGGTGTACCTGCAGCATTAACAAGTCCATTCCTATACTAAGGCTTGATAGAATACACGTGTATAATGTGGTACACCTGCAGCATTAACAAGTCCATTCCTATACTAAGGCTTGATAGAATACACGTGTATCTTGTGGTATACGTGCAGCACTAACAAGTCCATTCCTATACCAAGGCTTGATAGAATACACGTGTATAATGTGGTATACCTGCAGCATTAACAAGTCCATTCCTATACCAAGGCTTGATAGAATACACGTGTATAATGTGGTATACCTGCAGCACTAACAAGTCCATTCCTATACCAAGGCTTGATAGAATACACGTGTATAATGTGGTTAACCTGCAGCATTAACAAGTCCATTCCTATACCAAGGCTTGATAGAATACACGTGTATAATGTGGTATACCTGCAGCATTAACAAGTCCATTCCTATACCAAGGCTTGATAGAATACACGTGTATAATGTGGTATACCTGCAGCATTAACAAGTCCATTCCTATACCAAGGCTTTGATAGAATACACGTGTATAATGTGGTGTACCTGCAGCATTAACAAGTCCATTCCTATACCAAGGATTGATAGAATACACGTGTATAATGTGGTATACCTGCAGCATTAACAAGTCCATTCCTATACTAAGGCTTGATAGAATACACGTGTATCTTGTGGTATACCTGCAGCATTAACAAGTCCATTCCTATACCAAGGCTTGATAGTATACACGTGTATAATGTTGTGTACCTGCAGCATTAACAAGTCCATTCCTATACCAAGGCTTGATAGAATACACGTGTATAATGTGGTGTACCTGCAGCATTAACAAGTCCATTCCTATACCAAGGCTTGATAGAATACACGTGTATAATGTGGTATACCTGCAGCACTAACAAGTCCATTCCTATACCAAGGCTTGATAGAATACACGTGTATAATGTGGTATACCTGCAGCACTAACAAGTCCATTCCTATACCAAGGCTTGATAGAATACACGTGTATAATGTGGTGTACCTGCAGCATTAACAAGTCCATTCCTATACCAAGGCTTGATAGAATACACGTGTATAATGTGGTATACCTGCAGCATTAACAAGTCCATCCTATACCAAGGCTTGATAGAATACACGTGTATAAGGTTGTTTTCCTGCAGCATTAACAAGTCCATTCCTATACCAAGGCTTGATAGAATACACGTGTATAATGTGGTGTACCTGCAGCATTAACAAGCCCATACCTATACCAAGGCTTGATAGAATACACGTGTATAATGTGGTGTACCTGCAGCATTAACAAGTCCACTCCTATACTAAGGCTTGATAGAATACACGTGTATAATGTGGTACACCTGCAGCATTAACAAGTCCATTCCTATACTAAGGCTTGATAGAATACACGTGTATCTTGTGGTATACCTGCAGCACTAACAAGTCCATTCCTATACCAAGGCTTGATAGAATACACGTGTATAATGTGGTATACCTGCAGCATTAACAAGTCCATTCCTATACCAAGGCTTGATAGAATACACGTGTATAATGTGGTTATACCTGCAGCACTAACAAGTCCATTCCTATACCAAGGCTTGATAGAATACACGTGTATAATGTGGTATACCTGCAGCATTAACAAGTCCATTCCTATACCAAGGCTTGATAGAATACACGTGTATAATGTGGTATACCTGCAGCATTAACAAGTCCATTCCTATACCAAGGCTTGATAGAATACACGTGTATAATGTGGTATACCTGCAGCATTAACAAGTCCATTCCTATACCAAGGCTTGATAGAATACACGTGTATAATGTGGTGTACCTGCAGCATTAACAAGTCCATTCCTATACCAAGGATTGATAGAATACACGTGTATAATGTGGTATACCTGCAGCATTAACAAGTCCATTCCTATACCAATGGCTTGATAGAATACACTTGTATAATGTGGTATACCTGCAGCATTAACAAGTCCATTCCTATACCAAGGCTTGATAGAATACACGTGGTATAATGTGGTATACCTGCAGCACTAACAAGTCCATTCCTATACCAAGGCTTGATAGAATACACGTGTATAATGTGGTATACCTGCAGCACTAACAAGTCCATTCCTATACCAAGGCTTGATAGAATACACGTGTATAATGTGGTATACCTGCAGCATTAACAAGTCCATTCCTATACCAAGGCTTGATAGAATACACGTGTATAATGTGGTGTACCTGCAGCATTAACAAGTCCATTCCTATACTAAGGCTTGATAGAATACACGTGTATAATGTGGTATACCTGCAGCATTAACAAGTCCATTCCTATACCAAGGCTTGATAGAATACACGTGTATAATGTGGTGTACCTGCAGCATTAACAAGTCCATTCCTATACCAAGGCTTGATATAATACACGTG